TAAAGATTGAATAGGAAGTATTATTAACATTTTTCCTTTTTTCCCCCACAGGAAGTTACTTATTTGTAAAAATTTCTATGAATTCATTGTTGCACACTTTCTTCCCTGCCCACCCCTTCCCTGCCCACCCCTCATTTTTCTCTTTGAAAAGTAAAAACAAACTTTCATTATAATATAATCCACTCCCTGCCCCAGACCACTCCACTATGCAGCTTTCATTTTACACTCTTTTCTTGACCATGATACCTAATCATATATTCCTCCTAAAGAATTCTCTCCCTCATCTGTTTCAATGGACTATATATTATTTATCCCCTCTTAATTTCCCTCCAACACCAATATCAGACCCACTTTACAACAGTGACACTATTTGTCCTTTTGTGACTGAGATATTTCACTCAGCATAATGTCCTCCAGGGTCTCCCATTTTGTCTAATATTTCATGCATTCCTTGTTTTTCAATGCAGCATAGTATTCCATTGTGTGATTATAACACAGCTTCTCTGTCCATTCATTTCTTGGTGGGGAGGAAGTTATTTTTAAGAAGGATTTCTAGATCTAAATATTTTTAGGCTTTAACTATGTTAAAAAATGAGTTTTGTTTCTGTTTTAAATTTTTCTTAGGGACTTTATTATTCCTACTTCAAAATCATCATTGAAGCACCTTCATTTCTGGAAGGACTTTGGATGATCATGAATGACAGGCTTACTGAATATCCTCTTATAATTAATACAGTAAAACGCTTCCATCTTTATCCAGAGGTGAGTAGTGTTTTGAGGCAAATAGTATTTGTATGTGGATAGCATTTTAATTGTTAGAAATAGTGAGTAAGTTCAATGACATAAGAAAAAGCATAAAAATGTTAAGTTTTTTGTTGTTTATGTTCTTAGTTAACTAAGCAGAATACCAGGAATTCTTTTCTAAAATATGTAGATCCCAGAAACTGGACTCATATGAACTCAAAGAATAAAACCTTAATGTGGAAGTAATGAGAGAACACTAGTTAAGCAATAGGTAAGCCCTCAACTCTTGACTAAAAGGTTGATAGTTAAGATCTATTAGTGTCTCTGCAAGAGAAAGACCTGACAGTCTCCATCTATCTATAAAGATCACAGCCAAGAAAATCCTGTGGAGCAGTGCTGTTCTGTCATATGGGGTCACTTTGAATTTGGAAGGACTTGATGGCACCCAGCAACTACAACATGGAAGTTATGACCAGGACAGTAGAAAAACCAAATGTGAAGCAAAACCACTAAAAGAAGAAAAAAAATAAGGATGGGAAGAACATAACATTGCAATGAATTAAAAGAGTAAGGTTTATTTAGTCATATAACCAAGTTTCTATGAGCATCTTTCAAACCTTAGCCAAAAAAGTGTGGGGCTTACGGTAGTATGAAAATTCTATAGATTGGGAGAAACAAAAATGGATAGACTAAGTTTGTTAATGAACTTTTTACTTTTTAAATTTTATTTGAGTGAAAGTTTGCAAATCATACTGTACTTTCATTCAGTCGTTCATAGACTTCATTTTTATAAAGTTAATTAATAGATTAATGTCATTTACACTAATTAAATCATTACTATATTTTATTATTTTTTGTTGGTTTTAATACAATCATTCATATGTAATGTATTTGATTTATGTACATGATATTTTATATAATCATTAATATACATTGCATTTTATATAATTAATTACTTTTGAACTATGCCTATTATCACCCCTTCTCTTTATATCCCCACTGAATCTTTCCTGTTCTTTTACCCCATTCACCCACAAACCTCTATTCTAGTGATTTTCCCCTTTCCTCTTTTCCTACCCCCTTCTCACCTTTTTCTTCCTCTTTTGAACATTTATACATATCTTGTTCAATTATCCTCCATTTTTCACAAGAGGGTCTTATGGAGTATTTGTCATTATGTAACTGAGTTATTTCACTCAGCATAAGGTTCTTTAGAGTCAGCCATGTTATCTAGTATTTTACAAAATTGTTGTTCCTTAGCTCTGCATAGTATTGCATTATGTGAATGTACTGCAGTTTCTCAATCCATTCTGTTGTTGATGAGCATTTGGATTGGTTCCATTTTTCTTGCTACTGGGAATAATGCTGCTACGTGAACAGTCTCCTCAGGGAGAGCTTTCCAACCTTAAAAGCCTGATGGGGGAGGGGATCACCATGAATTGACACCAATGACAGTGAGTTTGGTTTATGGAGCTGGCAAGAGAGGCTCAGTAGTGCAGCAGTTAAAGCATTTGACCACCAACCAAACTATTGTTTGACTCCATGAGAGGAAGATATGACAGCTTCCACAAAGATATTCTTAGAAACCCTGTGGTGCAGTGCTACTCTATTCTAGAGGGTCATCATGAATCAAAAATTGCAGTGTGTCTACAACCTCACCAGCATATGTTGCTAATGTCTTACCAAACATGCTGTTTTTGCTGGACATTTGGCAGAAAGCTACCTGGACAACTGATTAGAAAAGATTGATATTTGTTCCCATCCCCCAGCAAGGTGATCCAACAGAATGTGAATATTATTGATCAATGTCATTAATATCACATGCAAGTAAACTCTTACTGAATATTATTAAAAATGGCTATGACACTCCTTTAACAGAGAACTGCTGAAATTCAAGATGGCTTTAGAAGAGTTCATGGAGGAGTGGTCTCATTGCTGATGTCAAATAGATTTGACTGAAAGTAGAGATGCCACAGAATGTCAGCCAGTGTTGTATTGACTATGCAAAGACATTTTCCTTTGTGGATCATAGAAAACTGTGGCTGACATTGACAGAAATTGAAATCTTAGAACACTTAATTGTGCTCATATGAAATCTATACAGTACTTAGACCAAGAAACAACAAGGAGTTCCTTCATACAACAAGGAGATCCTCCATGATTTAAAATCAAGAAAGGTGTGTGTCAGGGCTTCATGCCTGTTCAATCTGTATGCTAAACACATCATTCAGGAAGCTGGATTATATGAAGAATATGGCACCAGGATTGGAGAAAGACTGATCAACAACCTGTATTATATATAAGACGACACAACCTTTCTTGCTGAAAGTGAAGATGTCTTAAAATGCTTGATGCAGAAGATCAAAGACTACCACTTTCAACATTTCAACATCAAGAAAAGAAAAATCACTGGGCCAACAGGAAACATGAAGATAGATGGCAAATAGATTGAGGTTGTCAGTGGTTTCATCTTAACTGGGTCTACAGTCAACACCCTTAGTATCAGCAGTCAAGAAATCCAGACTCTCTGCACTGGGAAAATCTACTGTCAAGGGCATTAAGCTCTCTTATAGATGGATTGATTCAGACTGGGGCGATCGGGATGAGTGTGTCAGAGACAATGAGATTGGCACAGGACAGAGCAAAGTTTAGAGCTGTTGTACATAGGGTCACTATGAGTCACAAGCGACTCGACTGCACATAATAACAACAACAACACCATATGTTTTTATATGCTGAGGAAAATGACTGAAAGTGTGATTATCTTTCGAGTATTTCTAGATGTAAGTGCTTCTTCGTTTCTTTGCTTTAAATTTTTTTTTTTTTGCTCTTTAATCTGTTACAGTGAACTACATATTGAGAAGAACTGGTCTTCTGCTTGACCATAACTTACTACACCACATGCAATTGTTTCTTATTATAAAGAAAATATATTTAAATAGCTGAATGAGCAATTAGGAATTGTTTCTATGAATATTTTTCTGTTAATCACTATCATATTTAATTATATGGTTTTATGTAAGATTTTATTATAGTTACTACTGTTTCTGTTCCAGCATTAAGTACAAAAGTATACTACAGAGGTATTAACTGACGATATTAGTTGTTACAGATGTAAATTCTCAATAATATACAACTTTAGTAATAACACAGTATATATAGCATTTAGAATAACTACTAAGTGAAATTATTAAAGTACTTTTGTCAGCATTTATAATGTCAGATTATCAAAAAGTGCGATTTTGTAAAAGTTTATTGTTATGGAAAAAATATCTTCCTCCACCTTTTGCATTTCTTTTTGTTGTTTGTAGGTACTCATGGCCAGCTGCTACCGTACACTTGTGGGATTAATGAATTTATTTGATATAGAAACGAAGACCTGCTGGAATGTCACCAGGAGAGAAGCTCTTGACCAAATTGAAAGTTGTGAAGGCACGTTTGTCCTAAAATGCTGCTGTATTCTCATTATTGTGTTCATAAATATTTCATATTTAGTTAACTCATTTTAAGAATTATGGTAAACTAATGTAGTTGACTTTTTTCTTTAAAACTCCACTAGAATGTATTCACATAAATAAGTATCTTATTCTTTAGTTTTCTGAGAAAGCTGTGCACATGTTGAGATATTCATTTAATTGGGAATTTTATTTGAGCATTAATATGTCTCAGTGTAAGGCAAAACCTCAGTATAAGTCATTCTTCCATTTCAGAATAAGATTTAAAAAATGGAGAGGTAGCTGGGGTATATACATTTTGGGAATATAGAATAAACAGATATTTATTTGTAATATTTAGTGTATTAATTTAATTATACATTTTGTCATCATTAGGCGCCATCGAGTTAAGTACAGCTCATTAGCAACCCTATCAACAAGAGATCTGAATCCTGTCCTATCCTGTGTCATACTCACCATCTCTAACACACTTTAACCCATTGCTGCAGTCACGCATATTTCAAAATAAGATAAAAAAATACCAATTTAGCATTACAGATTTTTTATTCTTTCATAGTTCATGGATAGTTTTAACCAAACTATTCATATGCCTCATCTACATTGGTGTCTCCGTAAAATAATTACTTCTGGAATATAACAGTTTTCCATGTGGTTTAATAGACATTTCTGTTTTAAGAAGTTTGCCATTCAGTCCTTTGAAACTTATTTCAAGGCACATACAGTTACTTGTTTAACATTTACACAATTATTCTTGATCTCTTTATGTTCTTCACAACCTAACTAGTTACTGTATTTCATAAATATATTTTACAAAGAGACCTGTATTAGCATACATGCTGAATTTATAGTCCCCTTTGTACTGATTTCCTTGGATAAGTTTGTCACACATGTAATAGTATTGTAAGCAGTTGGTTGAGAGTCAATTTTACTTTTATTTTTACACAAAATTAAGTAAGTGAGAAAATGTCTGATAAGTAGATTTTAAAGTATTTAAATAAAAGCAATCCATTTTTATGAGGAAAAGAATTGCCTTTACATATGATAACCTATGATGTTTTTAAAGTTTCTACTAATTGATAGCCTAGTGCTTACCATTGGAAATTTGAAGTGAACCAGGTGGACAAGGGCCTTAATCTCATGTAATTTCTGTATTATTAGAGATTTCAATAATGACAACTGATGGATATTATAAATGAGAAAGTATAGATTCTTGAGTGTAGGTTGTTGTTGTTGTGTGCTGTCGAGTGGGAACCAACTCATAGCTGACCCTCCAGTGGGTTTTCACTAATTTGCAGAGGAGGAGATTGCCTGTCCTTTTCTCATGGAGCAACTAGTAGATTCAAACCACATACCTTTGGGATTGCAGCGCAGCTTCTTATATTAGGCCACCAAAGCTCCTTACGTGTAGGAATGATGGATATTATAAATGAGAAAGTATATGTTCCTGAGTGTAGAAGTAAGAAGTGTTTCAAGAAGAGCGACCAGAAACTGGCAACTGAAGAAAAGACTAGAATTCTTAAAGCAAAGGGATAGAGAAGAAAAAAATGGTGTTAAATGATGCTGAGAATGTAAATATGGACCAGATCATAAAGAGGCCATGTTTGTTAAGAATTTTCTACTTTATGCATTAAGAATTTTTAACTCATTTATATTTGGCATGATTTAACAATTGTAAAGAAAGGATATTAATAGGGAGCAAAAATGAGTTCAGAGAGGCCATATAGAAAACTGTTGAACTTTCAGCAAATGATGACAGGAAGGATGACAGGGAGAAATACATGGATTTGAGAGGTGTTTTGCTGGTAGAATATGCTAGACATGGTAATTGGTTTTTTGTCTGTTTGGGTTTTCTTGTGGGTATAATGTTGTTGTTTGTTAGAAAGTTACATCCTCAAAGGTATAGACCTCCCTCTTTGAAAGGAAATATAGAGAGAGGCCTCTCGCTCATGGCCTCATTTCTGGGGGGGCCCTCACAGCTGGGGTTTGAGACAATGAGACGATACCACAGAGAGTTCAGAATTTGGTAGGTGGGTCTCATTCTGGTCCCTGTTCTCTGATGTCACTTTTAAAATTTTTTTTAAATTTTGTTAGTTTTAATGAAAGTTTACAGAGACTTAGGATTTTAATTCATTAATTGTTGCACTTTTCTCCCTGTCCACCCTCTCCCCCCAAGCTCGCTCTTCTTTTTGAAAAGTAAAAGAAAAATTCTTTAATTGTTAAATAATCCCTCTCCCCAAGTCCACTCTACTGTGCAGCCTTCATTCTGGACTCCTGTCATGAGAATCATATATCCCTTTTAAACAGTTTGTCTCCCCCATATTATTAGTTCTAATATTAACATTTTTCCCTGAGGTCAGGCCGCTGAAATCTTTTACGGTTGTGGGAAGTGACCTTTCTAGCTGATTTATACTGGGATTGGATGTTGTCCTGCCTGTAGGGGCTGTGCATCTCTCCATGGCCCTGTTTCTATGGTATCCTAAATGCTCTGGTCACGATGCCAAGTGGGTTGATAGGCACAGAGTCAGGAGAGAGACTTAAATCAGCTGGTGTTCTTATAGAGCCATCTTCTTAATATAGAACACTTGGAGCCTGGAAGATTTAAACTTTATTAATAGAGTAAACAAGTAGGGTTTAAAAGTTGTTGTCTACTATAGAGTTAGAATCGACCCATAGCTGACCCTCCAGAGGATTTTCAGAGGCAGTTAGTCACACAGGAGGAGATTGCCCATTCTGTAGGTAAATTAGGACTGACTGTATATAGAGGAAAAGCTATTAGATTTAAGTCTAGATTTTCAATGAGAACTAAGAATTAGATAATTGATAAATTTGATAGGTTAAGTTAGTAACAGAAAAGTATATTAATGAGGCAGAAGATTTTTAGTGAAAAGATTTATAACTTTAAAAGAGTAGTATAAAGAATATTTGAAAAGGTAGAGCATAAAACATAGAATAAGAGTACATTAGACTTGGTAATTGTTTAATGGAAGAAGTAAGAAAGATGGAAAGGGTATACAGAATCAAGGGGAGCTCTGGTGGCCTAGTGGCAAGAAACTGCACTGGAATCCCAGAGATATGTGGTTCAAATCCACCAGATGCTCTGCCGGAGAAGGAGGGACAATCCCCTCCTGCACCAGTCAGATCCAATTTGATGGCACACACACACACACACACACACATATAAAATTAAAAAAATGTTTAAAAAGGAGTATACAGAATCACTATAACAAAAAGACTTAGCTGACATGGAAAAATTTCATGAAACAATGTATGATCAAGAGCCTGTGATGATGAAGAAGGAAGTTCAAGCTGCTCTGAAGGAACTGGCAAAAAACAAGGCCCCAGGAATTGACAGCATACCAGTTCAACAAACAGATGCTGCCTTAGATGTGCTCACCAAATTGTGCCAAAAAATCTGGAGAACAACCACCTGACCAAATGACTGGAAGAGATCCATATTTGTTCCCATTCCAAAAAAAAAGATGACCCAACATATGTGAAAATTATTGAACAATATCATTACTAACACATGCAAGCAAAATTTTGCTGAAAATTATCTAAGAACGACTGGAACAGCACATCAACAGAGAACTGCCACATGTGCAGGCTGAGTTTAGAAGACGCTGTAGTACTAGGGATATTATAGCCAATATTAAATGGATCTTCGCTGAGAGTAGAGAGTACCAGAGGAACCTGTTTTTCATTGACTATACAAAGGCATTTAATTATGTGGATCACAACAAACTGTGGCTAACTCTGAGAAGAATAGGAATCCCAGAACACTTGATTGTGCATAAACCTATTCTTGGACCAGGAGACAGTCGTCAGAACAGAGCAAGGAAATGTTGCCTGGTTCAGAATCAGGAAGGTGTATGCTAGGATGCAGCCTATCTCTATATCTTTAAATCTATATGACGAACAGATCATCTGGGAGGCTGGGCTTTACGAGGAGGAATAGGACATTAGGATTGGAGGAAGACTCATCAGCAACCTATGTTATGCAGATGACACCACTTTGCTTGCCTAAACTGAGGAGGACCTGAGACATTTGCTTCATTCAGGTCAAGGACCTCAGGCCTCAATATGTATTGAAGCTCAACATCAAGTAAACAAGGACTCTTACAACTAGTCTGGGAACATTATGATAGATGGTGAAGAAACTGAGACTGCTAACAGCTTCAGCTTTCTTGACTTCACAATCAACACTCTTGGTATCAGCATCCAGGAAATCAAAAGACTAATTGCACTGGGAAAATCTGCTGTGAGAAACTTCTCCAAGTACTAAAGAGCAACAAAGTCAGTCTGGAGACATAAGGCACTC